CCCGCGAGTCCTGCCAGGCCCCCCTCCCTTTTGTTTCCCATTGCTTCCAGGGAGGGGTCTGCTATCTCTAATTTCATAGATCTGCTTTCTATCCTTGGAAGTTATTTTTCTTCAGTACAGAACTCTTCCTCATATTTATTACACAAGCGTTCTCTGCTGAGCCGCACCTCCAGCCTTTGGAACTGGTTAGTCTGAGGTAGGGTCTTGATTTTTGCTTGGGCCTGTGCCTGGACAGAGACCTACCTATTTTAGGCTTCCTATTGTAGCTGGGATGGCAGGTACACACTACCATGTCCAGCCTTTTCCCCTGAGATGGTGTCGTGATATTTTGCTTCCCAATCTCAGCCTCCACAGCATGGATGAGACAGGCATGCGGCACTACGCCTAGCTGTTGGGTGAGGAGCTGGGTGTAGGCCTCTCAGGTACCTAGGATTGATTATAGGTGGGAGCCACTAACTGGAGATGTATCTCCTGGATTTGTCTGCCTAGCTGGCTTCAAACTACCACCCTCAAACAGTTCAGCTCCTGAGTGGCTAGAATTACAGGTGTGAGCCACTGATACTTCTTGGCTGCCGTTCATCCTGCCCTGGGCACCAACAGAAGGCTGGGCCTGGCAGCACGGCCAGCCATCCAGCCTGCAGTCTCCTTCTCAGGGGACACTTGCCTGCATTACCCTGAAAGACAGGGCCCGGAGCTTGGTCATCCACCCTGGAGAGCCCGAGCAGCGCCTCGGCAGCGCCCACCCGGGCGCGGGCATCCAGCTTGCCCCGCGCGCCTTCCTTGCTTCCGCTGACATCCATCTCTTTCTGTAACCTGCAAACCTCTGTTCACTGTTGCCCTCTCTAATCTCCCATACTTTCCTCTTGGGAGCCAGCTGAGCCGGTTTTTTGGGCAGTGCTGGTGATGAGCTCAGGGTCTCATGGCCTGCACCTTCCTCCCAGTGCCTCTCTGTACCCTGCAGAGGGGCCGGCGCCCGGCCTCTTGTCCAGAGCTGGCCACCGGAGTCCTGAGTCCAACCAAGGCAAGCTGTACACACACCTCCTCTGCTGGGAAAGTACCTGGGGCCACGGAAGGACCGTGCGATTGACCTGCCACGGCTGGACGTGGGGCGCAGCCCCCGCCTGGTGCTGGACGCGGGGAGGGCTGGGCCCCGGCGTGGACCTTCGCTGTCTCACCGCGGGGGGCCGCCCAGGCCCAGCAGCTCTAGTGCCATGACCTTGTCCTGACCTCTGTCCCGCCCCCTTCCAGGCTAGGGGACTGCGACGTGACCAATAACGGTTGTAGCAGCCTGGCGTCAGCCCTGCTGGCCAACCACAGCCTGCGGGTGCTGGAGCTCAGCAACAACTGCATGGGGGACCCTGGCGTTCAGCGGCTGGTGGACAGCCTCAGGCAGCCAGGCTGCGCCCTGGCCCTGGAGAAGCTAGTGTAAGCGGGCGGGCGGGCAGGCGGGCGGGGCTCAGGCTGAGGGATGGGTGTGTGTGTGTGCACGCGCACGTGCATGTGCGTGTGCACGCGCACGTGCATGTGCGTGTGTGACACCCAGCCCACTCCTGCCTGTGTCCAGCCTCTATGACATCTACTGGACCCAGGCGATGGAGGACCAGCTTCAGGCCCTGGAGGAAGCCAGGCCGTCTCTGAGGGTTATCTCTTGATGGACACGGACCTGGCCTCTGGACCTGTACTTGGAGACACAGCCTAGTCTGCCCTGGGGCAGCAGCTTAGAGTTTGGCTTCTGCCCAAAGAGAAACAATGTAATCATTTCTGCAAGAAAAATCTAGACACTTTGTAATGATTAAACAGCTTTGTTGGGAGGAAGTCTCTGTTCTTCCTTCATGCCGTGTCCGCCAGCATTCGCTTTCCCTGTTCGCTTCCTGCCCGAGACTGGGCCCTGCCCTGCCAGGAAGAGGTCGTTCAGCACCTGAACCATCTGGACAGGGGCAGTCAATTCCAGCGTACTAGTGAATGGCAGGGTGAAAAAAGCTAGAAGAAAGGTTTGTGAATGTTTTTACCGCAAAGCAGTGACGAGCGTGTGCAGGGACAGATGATGCTATGCCCTGAGGCCGCCCACACCTGAGTCCTGTGTCCAGGAAAACGTTCAAACCCACGCCACTTGTCTGGTGCCCCCAGCTCCGCTCCTGTCAGGCCAGGCCTTCCTACCCGGGACCACACAGAAGCAAGGCTCCTGAGAGGGTGGGAAATTCCAAACAGTGGAAGGGGGGCCGTGGCTCACGTGGTAGAGCCCCAGCCTGAAGAAGCTAAAGGAGAGTGCTCTGGCCGGAGTTCAAGCCCCAGTACTGGCACGCACACAAAAAGGTTGCTTCAATAAAGGAAGAGACCACCTTGTGTGTAAGAAAAATTGCCCAAATCCTCACTTTCTGGAGAACTACGTGCAGGTGGACTGAACTCACAGCCAGCCGCCGTGGCAGCTTTCTATACAACGCATTTCCTGTACCAGTTCTAGGGCTTGGCCTCAGGCGTTCTTGCTCGTGGCTGGCGCTCCTACCACTGAGCCATGATGCTGACATGCTGCTGGTTAACTGAGTCTCAGTCTTTCCTGGCTAGGCTGGCTTCACAGGTGGGTCTCCTGCGTAGCCGGGATTGCCAGCGTGAGCCTGCTCTGGTGCAGCTGGCCCGACAGGTGTGTGGCACCATGCATGCCTGTCTTTTCTGTTGTTTTTGAAAGGGTATGGCTTTAAACCCACCAAGTACCTCAGCTCCTAGTGCTAGGATTGAACTTGAAAACAACTATTAAAGTTCTAAAAACACTAGTCTGAGAGGTCAGCTGCCCTTCCGGCCCCGGTGTGAGTGACCTGCATCGGGGACAGGTCTGGGGGCAGCTGCCCTCCGGGACGTCACCCTCCCTCGACTCTGAGTGTCTTAGGCCACTGCTGCTGCTCATGAGAGGCTTCTGGAAAGGTGGAGCAGCAAAATGGGAACAAGGAAGAAGGCTGGAGACTGAGCACCTTCACAGCACTTTATTTTGTTCTGCCTGCTCAAGGCAGCAGCCTTGGACTCAGGAGTCAGAGGGGTGAGGAGCAGCCAGATGTCTCCTGACTTGATGGTGCCAAGGGGCCAGTCTGGTGATCTCCAACCCACCACACACCCTCCAGGCTAAGTGGAGGCTCCGGAGGAAAGAGGAAAGGGCTCCGTGCTGCCACTCCGTCTGGCTTTTTAGCCATCTTGGTGATGAGCGCCTGTCCCTCACTTGTGCAGCCCGGAGGGAGGGAGCCGAGATCTTTCTGGGCCTCCGCCCACTCCATGGGGAGTGATGTCTCCCTCCCCGTGCCGTGCCAGGGCTGGGTCCGTGCTCCACAGTGAGTCCCTGCCACGCTGGCCAACTTGGCCCCAAGACGGCTTGGCAGCCCCGCACTCAGATACACGCATGTGCACACGCACTCCCTTGCACACCTGGAAACAGAGGGACTGGGCCTCCTTCCCACAGGAGGAAGGGACCACCCGCGGGCGAGGCTGGGGCCCTCCCCGCGGCCTTGGCTCAGAAGGCCGAGGCCCCCTCCTTGGTGGCTTCCTCTTCGGCCGCCCTGGGCTCTGCAAGGCCATCATCTGGCTCTGGGTGCCCGTCTCTGTTGCCGACAGCTCTGTCCTGGTCACTTTGTTGCTTCTGCCGCCGGGTCTCCTTGTACCTCAAGGTGATGTCCCTGAGGGGGCAAGGCCATGTTGCCACCGGCCCGGTCATGAGTCCCGGCACAGACCCCATAGACGCCTGGCACCTCTGTTCCACAGGAGCACCATGGGTGTGATCTGAGGAGTGGCTGGGTAAGAAGGGAGCTAAGGTGCGGGCCAGGACAGGCCACGAAGCCCAAGGAGCCCAGGTCCTCCAGGCAAAGGGTCAAGGCACTGTCCCACACAGTCCTCTGGAGGAACAAGGCTGAGAGGGGGCTGCCGGGACCCTTGCCCACCCCTTGCCGAAGCAGGATGGGGAAAGACTCCACCAGGTAGATCCGACGACACCCACAGCTGTTTAAGCTGGCTGGACCACAGACAGCAGGGGAGTCCCACCCTCCACTCACCTCAGAAAAAACCGCCACACAGTCCAGGTGAGCACCAGGACAGAGCCAAGTGTCCAGCACTGGGAGATGTAGAAGGGCAGGGACAGGGTGAGCGTGTGCGGGTCGTACTTCACGACGATGAGCAGCTCGGTGACCGTGATGGCAGCCACGAGCCAGGCCTGCTGGCCCAGCTTTCTGTGGGGCTTCCTGTGGAGAGGAGGCGGCTGCCTGATGCCCGGCCCGCTCCGCCCCGGGCCCCCCACCCGAGGCCTGGGGGCGGCCCTTACAGGTCGTCCATGAAGTCGTAGATCTCGCGCATGGCCACCCCGCCCACGTTCACGAAGAAGACCAGCCTCAGCAGGACCAGGTAGTGCTCGGGCGGCATCCACAGCACGAACTTCAAGTAGAACGTGTTCAGCTCCGCCAGCAAGAACTAGGGGATGGGAGAGGGTCAGCCTGGCGCAGGGCCCCAGGTTGCGTGCAATCGTGAGGCGGTCGGCCTTACCACCAGGATGATGCCGCACACCGCCAGCCAGCGGTGCAGACTGGAGGCGGGCTTCCACTCGAAGCGGACCCAGCTGTAGGGCGTGAACTGGAAGGCGATCCTCTTCATCTTGCCCCTGGAAGCCAGAGAGCCAGGGGCCTGAGCAGCTACGGACGGAGGCCCCACTGGCCGCGCTACTGAGGCTGCAGGGGACGTAGGACCTCCCCCCCAGGCCGCAGGGGACTGAGGCCCCGCCCTTGCGCTCTCTTCTTGGGCTCCTGTTCCTTCCCTCCTTTGTCTGAGGTTTGAGACAGGATCTGTGTTTTCCAGGCTCAAGTGGCCTTCCTGCCTCAGCCTCCTGAGGACCAGACTCACACATTTCCTGGCACTGCTTGTCTTTGTGGCTCTGGGGATGGAATCCAGGGCCTGTGCTTGTCAGCGAAGACCCTGCCGCTGAGCCATGTGCCCAACCCACCTTGTTTTTTCTTTTTTTTAAATCTCGAAGTGAAATAAGAAACATGAGGGACCCCCACCCCCGCTACGCAGCAGAGGGGGCCAGCCAGAGGGCGGGTGTGGTGCTGGGGAGGCAGAGCGCAGGGCCCTGGGGCTGAGAGGCCAAACAGCCACCCATCCTCAGGCACTGGAAGCCACCCAACACGGCCCCTTCCTCCTGAGACATACTTGTAGGTTGGAATGTTCCAGAGGCCTTGCCACTTGTATGTCTTCAGAGACAGCCACTCGAGGGTCTTCATGCCGCAGTAGATGCCCAGACCATTGCAGATGAGAACGTCCATGATCCACTAGGGCAGGGGCCGGAGAGAGGTGAGGCCAGGCCCGCGGAGGCCGGCCGCCCAGGGCTGTCCCGGCCCGGGCTGTCCCACGGCCCCCAGGTACCTACGTGGTCCCACCAGCACTCGCTGAAGTTGGGCAGCTGGTGCTCCAGGCTGTACTCCAGGAACTCAAACATCACGCTGATGATCATACACATCCACCAGTCCCGGATCATGAGCGTCTGCGGGCCGGGAGGCACCCGGTCAGGCTCCGCACAGGGGCCCCCGTGGGCCGCCCACAGGGGGTGCCCACTGCCCCCGGGTCCCCAGTCAGCACGGCAGGTGGGACATCTCCTAAGATGTTCGGCTCCAGTGGTGCGTCCGGAGCTCTAAAGGGAAGCGGCCCCTGCTGGCTGGCCAGGACCGCGCAGGGCCCCGCAAGGGACCCGGGCAGGCTCCGAGCTCCCCTGGTCCAGGGCAACGCGGGCGTGTCCTTCCCCAGAATCGGACCAGAGCCCAGAGTGCAGCAGGGTCGGACCTGCGGCCACCCGTGCTGGGATGGAGCGGAGGTGGGCAGGGGGTCAGGGCTCCGCTCTGGCCCCGCGGGAGGATGGGCGCTCCGGGAGGGCGGAGGCCGCCGTACCTTCAGATACCAGCCGATGAAGTGCGCGGGCACAAAGCCGTCCAGCTTGTCCTGCGGGCACGGAGACAGCCTCAGCCTCGGCCCCCGTGGG